CGAGATCTGCTACTTGCGTTTAATGTAGAACGGCCTTTGAGTTCCACTTTTGTGGAAATACGGCTAAAACCAGCGGCTGAAACCGTCGTAAAAAATTACATTAGGATGGCCGCTCTCAGGTTTCTCTCTGTATACACAGAGAAGTGTACGGCGCGATGTTAGCGCCACGTTTTGCGCGTATTAATTACAAATCAACTCACTGAATAAAGGCTGTTCTACATTGATCGCAAGCGCAAACCCAAGGAACAGGTCTGGTAGAATTGACTAATTGTATTGATCAAATCAGCCAATTGATCAGCGTGATTGGTCAATTCTACGAGATCTATACCTTGCGTTTGCGCTTGCGATCAATGTAGAACGGGCTTAATGCCGGTGCACTATCGTGGATACTGGAGTTCACGAACAGGTGGAAAAGTGATAACAGCTAAACCACCGATCGTGATCACTCTCTCAGTTTTCTCTTCGATTATTATAACGAAAGGAGATAGGAAGAAAGAGCGATGACATTATCGACAACGCAGACAAGTGGTTGAGACAGTTAGTACAGCGTTCGTTGGCGCTGAGGGGAAAGCCATACCTCTTACTCTTAAACCCCCGCGCCTATTCTGCAAATTTTTAATTTTTACAGTCTACAGGAGTCATAAATTGTAATAAATCAGTTGATAAAAAAAATAAGTTGGACAAATATAAATAAACAGGTTTTTTTCTGCAAACAATCTATGTATAAATACATATGACTTATTATATAAATTATGTTTTTATGCAAAAAACATAAGTCATGTCGGATGCTTTTGAGGAAATACAAGCGATTAAAATAAAGAGGAATAGTTATCGCGAGAAATTACAGAAGAGAAAACGTGAGAGACATGAATTGCTCTCGTCTACACCAGCTTCGTCCACCTTGACGACGGAATCTGCATATTCTGGTACTCAACACTGTTACGATTATATGTGAGCACAAACATATAAAGAAATAGATTTTTAATACTAATTACAAATTTCTATCTTTTGTGCAGACTCTAATGCATCATCACGCTCTGACCACAGTGAATATGAAAGAGATGTACTCTGCATTCTGCATGAATCACTACCCAGTCTACCAATAACATCTGCTGACTTGATAGATCAGTTGCGAAAAAATCTCAATGCTGATGTATCATCTTCTGATATACACAAGATCCTGGAAAAGTTGGCTGCGCAGGATATAGTTAAGTTAGTGTGCTTTTATGATATGAATTTGTTTTTGTTTCAACAAACTACTCTTAATATGAGAATACAAAAAATTGAAATTGTTATATTTTTAGGATCAAAGAAGTAACGGAGAATGGAGTATTTGGATATACAGTCTTGTCTGTCTCAGAATCCCAATCATGTCAGTTTCAATCTGATGATATTGAAAATGCTGAGAGTATAGAAATGTCGGTAGCTGAATTAAATGATTATGTTCCTTTGGAAAAGCAAGCAAAAGTAGATAAAAAGAATACAGAGGACATTATGTTCTTAATATCAATGCCAACCATCAGAGAAAAAGAGAACAAAAAGGTGGGAGAGCAGATTTTAGATCTGTTGTCCAAGCAGACTTCCAAGGAGAAATCACTGGCAGAACGATTTCGCTCTCAGGGAGGCACTCAAGTTATGGAATTCTGTCCACATGGTACAAAAATAGATTGTATGAAATTGAACGGTAGTCCAGGATTTGCAGAAAAATGTAAAAAGCTGCATTTTAAGAAGATCATACAGAGTCACACGGATGAATCGTTAGGTGATTGCAGTTTCCTCAATACGTGCTTTCACATGGACACGTGCAAGTAAGAATGTAAAAATATAATATCAAGTCTACTATTTTTTGTTGGAGTATATATTATGCCATTACGTTGATAATATATGTAATTTTATTTTATATATGTATACAAAGAATGTTTAGAATTAGATATGTTTTTGTCATGATTTTTTTCTCTTACAGATATGTCCATTACGAAGTAGACGGTCCTACAGCTCAACCAAAGGAAACTAATGATTCTGATAGCCCAAGCAATGCCACATCTAACAAAACGGTGAATCTAGATAGCAAGAATGGCACTCCTACTAGCAGCAATGTAGGCAGTGAGTTGACCTTGTACCCACCACAGTGGATCCAATGTGATTTGCGCTATCTTGACATGACTGTCCTCGGTAAATTTGCTGTGATTATGGCTGATCCTCCTTGGGATATTCACATGGAACTACCTTATGGTACAATGTCTGATGACGAAATGAGGCAGTTGGGTATTCCGGCGCTTCAGGACGAAGGACTTTTGTTTTTATGGGTGACCGGTAGAGCTATGGAGCTCGGAAGAGAGTGTCTGCAGTTATGGGGCTATGAAAGAGTTGACGAAATCATCTGGGTAAAGACTAATCAGCTGCAAAGGATAATACGAACTGGTAGGACAGGCCATTGGTTGAATCATGGTAAAGAACACTGTCTTGTTGGGATGAAAGGTAATCCTCGTATCAATCGCGGATTAGATAGCGACGTGATCGTTGCTGAAGTACGTGCTACCAGCCATAAACCTGATGAAATTTATGGTATTATTGAGCGTATGAGCCCCGGAACTAGAAAAATTGAACTATTCGGTAGGCCGCATAATGTGCAACCAAATTGGATTACGCTGGGCAATCAAGTAGAAGGTGTTCATCTGATTGATCCACAGCTGATCAAAGCCTTCAAGAAACGTTATCCTGACGGAAACTCGATGAAGCCGACCAAACCGTAAGATAGTTGTTTAAAACTTCTCGATATTTGAGCGTTAAATTCGATTTGTCGTTTGTCGACAGAAAAAGCGAGATATAAAAAAATTAAGAACTGCAAACTCAAGATCATAATTCGGCATCTGTCAAAGTGGTTCTGTGATCTGTGAAAAATACATGTTTCTTATCCTATTGTGCGGTCTGAGTTTTGTGATTGAATCGAAAGAAGAGTTGTCATTATATTTTAGGTGCGTGTGTGTATGTGCTCTATGGATTTCACGTGTGTTTATATAGAAATACTCTTTTATTTTTACATTAAGTACACGAACTTCTGCGTATTTTTCTTGCTTCTGATGTATCAATCCAAAGTAGTCGCTAAAGTATCGAGGAGCTTTAAATTGATTTAAATTTAATTTAATAAATTGACGAAAGAATGATTTAATTTATAGTATTTCAAACAAATTTTTAAGAAAAAATGTTTTTTATCATACTATTATATATATTTATATATCTCAAGATCTCTTTTTTTATATAAGATATGTTTATATTTACACATGTATAAACATATACATAATTGTGTATTTTCTATAAAATAGTAATTGTATCAATGTTCGGATTGCTTTCTATACCTTGAAAAAGCGGGATTCATACATGTCTGAAATTTTTCGAAGTAAATTTGATTTAGCAGTAACAAATTTTTTGCAATACATTTTTATTTTGATTTAAAAATACGAAAATTTCCAACCAATCAAAATTCTACTTTTTTCCGATAACCAATCACAAAAGCGTGCCCGAAAAATCCCTAGAATCTAGCTATTGGTCGTGTGCAAATGCACAACGTGTTCATTTAAGGCTTACCCGCATAAGTGCACCTCATTATAGCAAATTTTTTTCATGATACTCGTACAGTTGGTACTGTGTTTTGTACTAACTTTTTTGGAAAAAATATATTTTCTTAGGTATAAACTAAAGCTACATTCCGCATATTTACTGCCAGTGCTAACACTTTATAATACATGTAATGTAGACTATAAATTTTCATTAGTTGCATTTCTTAAATATCGGAATGTAGCCCAATTTACTTTTGTAGCGTACATATTTTTGATCGGTACAAAATACGGATTGAATTGCCTTCGGAGCGATTAATGACATCAATTTTGCAAATCGATCAATCATACTGTTTGATTTATCTAAGTGATGTCATTATTTATTCCGAAAGCACATCTTTCGTCAAAGACAAAACTTTTTACGTATCTATGCATGTAAAATATATATAGGCGAGCCAAATAAACAATAAAAAAATGTTCAAACGGTGCATCTATGTATATTATCATACATTATAATATGCTTCGAATTAATAACAATGAAACTCAAATATTATATTTCGTTCGAATCAAAAATGAAAAAAAAATTAATCAGAAATATTAATGCATAAAAATTTTTGTGAGGTCGATATATAAAACACTAGTAATAAAAGAAACAAAGAATTTGTAAAAAAAAAATCTCAATTAGATTTTGGTAATGTTTTTGTTGTTGGAACAAAAAGCAACCCGAGTAGAAATTGGATCCGGCAAATCTAACGTATTATATGGCCCTGATCAGGGAGCATTCCGGTATGTCCTATTTAGGAATTCCTGATGCTGGCCTGATCAGAGAAAACTCAGGCATACCCTAGTAAGATATGCCCGACTTGCGCCTGCTCAGGGAACGCACAGGTACGCCCTATTAAGGAACGCCTAACTTGTGCTCTACTAAGGAATGCCTGAATTTTGCCCTATTAAGGAAAGTCCGACTTGCACCTGATCAGGGAACGTGCAGGTACGTCCTACTAAGGAACGCCTGACTTGTGCCCTACTAAGGAATGCCTGAATTTCACCTAGTATGGAAAGCTCGATTTGTGCCTGAGCAGGGAACGCGCACGCAAGCCCTACTAAGGAATGCCGGATTTGCGCCAAATCAGGCTAGATTAAGGCATACCTTATGTGCTTATGATTCATTTTTTTGTTTTGTAACATTAAATTAATCAATAAATTGTCTTATTAATTATGCTTTTTTCCTTTGAGTGATACAGTTACAAACATGTTACATGCAAAGATAAAAATATTTAATTAAAACATAACCAAAAAACTTACCAAGTGATACGATTCGAGTCAAAATGCGCTCGATGTTGTGTAGAATAAATATATATACAAATACATATTTATATATTTTTTTAGAAGTGTAAATTTTCTACACTTGATTGTTTAAATTAAAATTTCAATTTGTAAATTACTTATTGCATCACGAAAATATCCATTTTCCCTTCCCAACTAATTTAGAAATTAAATTGCGAAAAAAAACTCGGTGGCCGAATTGGAAAGGCAATCGCATGAAAAGCGAGAAAACCCAGGTTCGATTCCTGGCCGAGATGTTTTTTTGCAATATGTCTAAATTAGTTGGGAAGGGAAAATGGATATTCTCATATATGTGATGCAAGCAAGTATATAGCATTCTATATAAATTTATGAATTAAAATTTCAATTTGATATATCAAGTGTAAAAATTTACACTTCTAAAAAAATATAAAAATAGATATTAATATATACAGAGTGTCCGATAATTGATAACATATCTCTTGTAGGCAGATAGAAGGAGTAAAACTGAGTCGAAAAGTCCTGAATCATGTTTTTCTATTACATATAATAAAGGAATAATTATTGAGTAAATCAGGCTAATCAGCGCCGATCTTTAGCCAGGCGCACCTAGTGTGCGTGAGCGCTC